CCAGTTGTCTCCTGACCAATGAGACTCTTTTTGAAGATGGAGGCTCTTGGCAACATTATTTGTCTCCTCAAAATAGTTCTCAAAATATACTGTGTGTCTGTCTCTCATCTACCACTGTGGTGTCAAAGCTCCCAAGCATTTGGCCCCCTTATCGAGCACCCTTTCCCATCTGCACTGAAGTCAAACTGTCCACCCCTTTGTAAGTGTCTCACAACCTAGATCTTTTACATTTGTAGATAGATACTCTTAATTTTGGACTTGAATTTACTTTTTCCTAGTTTTCTACTAAAGAAAACTGGCCCTTTTAAGTGTAGCACACACACAAATTTCACTCAATGCCCACCCCACTCATGCCTCACATACATGCACATATATCTATAACTAGAGGCCTGGTGCACAAAAATTCGTGCACTAGGGGTGGCGGTGGGGAGGTCCCTCAGCCCAGCCTTCGCCCTCTCACAGTTTGGTAGCCCTCAGGGAATGCTGTAGGGAGCGGGCCTAAGCTGCAGTCTGGCCTCTGTGGGAGGCAACCAGGCAGGTCAATCAGGGGACAGCGCCGCCCCCATCACCCCACCGCTGCCGCTGCCCCTGGCCTCCCTCTGTGGGAGGTGACTGGACTGATCAGGGGAAGGCACCACTCCCATCACCCCGCAACAGCTCCCGCTGCTGGCTTCCCTCTGTGGGAGGCAACTGGGTGGCCCATCAGGGGATGGTGCTGGCCAGCGTGGCCCCGCCCCCCCATTGCCCCTCCGCTGCTGCTGGTCACTGCCACTTCCTCCCCCCATCACCGTCCCCTCCCTCTGCCTGCTGGCACGCACCTTGGCTGGCCTGACGCTGCCTGCTTGCCGGCCCCACCCTCCACCGACTGGTGGTTCTGCCATTTGTTCAATTTGCATATATCTATATTAATGAAAGGGTAATATGCTAATTAGACCAGACGTCTTCCAGACGACCTTCCGGACATCCTTCCTGACAAAGCAGGCCCGGGCGAAACCGCCCACAGTCCTGGGCACCTGTGGCCGGCCTGGGTGAAGCTGGCCTGAGTCCCAGGTGCCTGTGGCTGGCCAGAGGGAGGGAAGCCTGGTTCCTGGGTGCCTGTGGCTGGCCAGAGGAGAAAAGCCTGGGTCTCAGGTGTGGGGGCTGAGGCAGAGACAGTTAGAGGCAATCAGGCAGGCAGAGGTGGTTAGGGGAGATTAGGCAGGCAAGCAGAGGGGTTAGGGGTGATTAGGCAGGCAGGCAGGTGAGCAGTTAGGAGCCAGCGGTCCCGGATTGTGAGAGGGATGTCTGACTGTCGGTTTAGGCCCAATTCCTGGGATCGGGCCTAAACCGGCAGTCGGACATCCCCAAAGTGGTCCCAGAATGGAGAGGGTGCAGGCCAGGCTGAGGGACCACCCCCATGCACGAATTTCATGCACTGGGCCTCTAGTAGAATAATAAAAGCGTTATATGCTAATTAGACCAGGTGACCTTCGGGTCCTGGGTGTCAGAGGGAAGCTGGTGCCAGTAGACGGGGGAAGGAAGGTCTACTCTTGCACAAATTTCATGCATCCGGCCTTTAGTATATATATAATATTCAGAACCTAATAACGCTCTCATCCCTAATAAAATTTGCATTGTGGAAATTTTATTCTAAATAATAGATTTGTTTTATAGAACATTTCCCCCTAGTATTTTGCTATATACACATTAACAACACAGTTCAAGGATCAGTTCTATCTACTGTTTTCATATGATAGTTAATTTAGTTTATTAAGAAATTTATACTTTCTCCTTCCATCTCATGGTCTCACCTCGGTTGTTCCATTCTTTTCTGTCCTTACTGATATTCCTTACCTGATCTTTAAAAGAGTTAGTCATTTTTCCAATTAAATAAAATATGTAGGCTTCTAATTCTTCTAGTCCTTCCTTGACCAATAAACAAATGAGAAATTCAAAATGCAAAGATTGGTAATATTGGACAAGTAATAAAACAGACATTAGGCTAAATACATAACTTTAAATGTGAAGATAAATTATTGACATGTATATGTAGGTCATTGTGTGTCAGACATATATACATATATATGACCCAACTTATACAATTAAAAAGATTTAAACAAAATATTTAAGTCTTCCAATAGAATAACTTTAAAAAGGTTTTTGTGCTTTTTATTTACATACTAGAGGCCCGGTGCACAAAAATTTGTGCACTTGAGGGGTCCCTCAGCCCGGCCTGTGCTGTTAGGTTCAATTTGCATATTACCCTTTTATTATATAGGATTAAACAGATAATAACTAAAATTTGTTTTATTCCATATTTTACAGAAGACATCAAAACATTAAAAACCACACATAACACACAAAACAGAAAATAGGTAAAAATTTTAATGTATTGTTACATTCATTTCCAGTAGAATACATTCTTGGCACTTGAACTGCTACCATTTTTTGGCTATTCCTTCTACTTAATGTAGCTATTCACCTCTCAGAGGTTAGCAATTTAAGAATAATTATTAAAACAATAATTTACTTAGATACTGATTTTCCCTGAGTACAGGATTAAATATCAAAAGTAAATTTATAACTATATTTTGTTGATAACTTTGTATTTTACTTTGCTATCCTATTATGGAAACCTGAAATTTTTTATGTAATCTTGGGACCTGTATGTATTAAAAGTACACTTGAAATAAAACTGAACCTTAAGTCATTATGCTTCATAATAATCAAGGCAAGTTATTTTCTAAGTATCAATGTAGTTCAGATTTTATTATGTACCTAAATGTCCTGTGTCTTAATTTTGTCAAAGTCCTGCTATCAATAAGTCTTCATCAATTACTAAGAAAACCATTGTTTAATCAGTAAAATAAAGTTTTATCTAATAAAATTATTTAAGTTAATAAATTTTAGTATCTAAAATGTTAATAATATTTGGTAAACTAAATTTATTATCACCTGTTATTTTGATTCATCCCTGCAAATACTTTTAGTAATAGTTTCTACTTCCTATTAGAGCAGAAACCTGCACTAGATTACACAGTATAACTGTGTAATTAAGTTACTTAATTGTAATTACAATTAATTGTATTAAAGTTATTTAAATTCACCTTTAATGATTAAATTCACTTTTTAGGATTTCTTTTACCTTATCTATAAAAGAAGGGCAATGAACTATATATATTATCCTTAAACTCTCTTCCAGTGCTAACATACTATAGTATAGAGCCAAATTATATAAATTTATATATTTAAGCATTAGCTTTTAAGACAATTTCAAAACAGCCTTGTAAAATATAGTTCTATGTTGCAAAATTGTGAATTACTATAATTTATTTTCTCTAGAATCTTACTGATTCATTTCTAAGATATATTTATTTTACAAAGATTTCTTAGAATGTGATGATTTAAGGCCAAAATAAAAATGTTATATTTGCATTTAATAAAATGAGTAATGGTTATACAATTTTTTGTTAATGCAGATACAACCCGTATCAGAAAATGCCATAAAGCCAGTATTTTTTAAAAATATGTAAAGCTATCTGACCTTTAAGGAACATTCCTTTCAAATATGTTTAATTTCAGTGAAAAAGCACAGAATCCTGATTTGTCTTAAGACTTTGAGTAGAACAGATTAATTGAAGATTTAATTTTAGATTTAAGGAGGAGGTCCCAGATAAAATAGTATGCTCTCACTTATTCTGATCACTAGTAGAGTTATCAAAATAGAAAATTCTTAACACTGATGAAATAGACTAGTAGCAGCACTGTAACTGTATCACTGCTAGAACAATGGAACCAGGAGAAAACAATTTATTACAATGGGAAGATGAGAAAAAATCAGCTACTGATAACTGAAACTTTATGGTAATGGGAAGATTGAAAAAGCAAGCTCAAAACTCATTAAAATTATTTTGTCTAATTTCTCAAAAAAGATAAGACATAAAGTCAGTTTTTATTAAATACTAGAGGCCTGGTGCACAAATTTGTGCACGTTGAAAGGAACTGTGGGCCATGAAGCTGCGGTGGGCACAGGGGCGGGTCTTGGCCCATCCTCCATGCTCCCGCCTGGCACCTCCCACTGTGGCCTCTGGTCCCATCTGCCAGCAGCCCTGCTCCTGCCCCTGCTGCTCCCATGCACTGAAGGTGCCAGCCCCGCTCGCACCCGCTGACAGCGGGGAGTGACTGGGGCCAGCGCCAGCAGTGGGTACAAGCGGGTCTGGTGCCATCAGTGGGTGTGAGTGGCAGCTGCTGTCCTGATCGCCCCTCAGGAGTAGGGGGAGGTGGAGAAACCCTCAGGGGTGATTGAGGCCAGCAGCCGCCGCTCACACCCTTTGACGGTGCTGAGCGATTGGGACTGGTGCTGGGTGTCAGCAGTGGTGCAAGTGGCAGCTCTGGTGCCGGCAGTAGGTGTGAGAGGTGGCTGCCGGCTCCGATTGGCCCTCAGGAGCAGGGGGAGGTGGAGAAGCCCTGAAGGGTGATCGGGGCCGGCAGCTGCCACTCGCACCCGCTGACGGCACTGAGTGATCCGGGCAGTGTGTGGGAACAAAGAATTTTCAGTAACCACCAGAGGCTCGCCCCAATGACAGCAGCTGGCGCCCCACCCTGGTCTGGCTCACCTGCTCCACCATCCCATCGCAGTCAACAACTGCCATGTTCTGCGCTCTGCGGCCTGCTGCCGATGCCCATCATGTTCCACGCGCGCCCCCTGGTGGTCAGCTCACTTCATAGTGACTGTTTGGTTATTCCACCATTCGGTCTATTTGCATATTAGTGTTTTATATATATAGATGTACATCTATTTGAGATTTAAATCTGATATTTGAGAATTCCTTTAGAATATGTTTAATTTCAGTGTTGGGTCTTTAATGTCTGGTCTAATGCTTACAAGAGTTTAGGTTACCTACATTTTTAAAACATACTTCTTTACAACATGGTTTCTCTTATTAGAAATATGGTTTTGTGAGATAAAATTATGGAGCACAACCAAAAAACCCCCAAAAAAACTCTTTACAGAAGGATGATCCAGATTTAACAAAATCTGAGGCAATGTTGTAATTTATAAAGTTAAGAATTCTGTGGTTAAGATGAAAAGTACACTTTGAAAATATTTTAGACACCCAATATGATATTTTGTATTGTGACATTCTAAAGAGCAGTGATGAAATAAGTAGTATTAGAAATCAATTAGTACTCAGTCAAAGTCTAGTTATTGATTTAGAGATTGGGGTTCATTCCAATCCAGTGTTTGATTAACTGATGTGCAATCGCTCGGCTTGGTGGCACGAAGAATGCCTGCTGCTTCCCTTTGGTCAGAACATCCACAACCTAAAATATACATAATAAAATGTATTAGGATTTCAACACTCTCATACTTAAATATTATTTCTATGCTTATACAATTCAACTTAAATGTGAGAACTTTTATAGTGAATAACAACAGTAGAAAGTGATTAACATCTATATTCACCATGCAAAATTTAGTACAGCATCTTTAGTTGCTTCAATGAGTTTGTGATTCAATTTTTAAAATATTTGAGAAAATAAAGTCATGAAAAAGCTAAGTATATGCTCCACACTTATTTTCAAAGTAAAGTCAACTTTTGTAATAGGTTCCATTTTACAAAATTCTGAAAAAAAATTCTAATTTCTACTTTTGGAGGTTGAGCAAATCAATTTTATTTAGACATAGTCAGAAGGATTTCAGGTGTTCAATACTGAAGTATATCCATTTGTTTTCTATACAAATACTCTGGGTTATACAAAACACAGCCAAGTAATTTATCTCTCATTATAATACTTAATGGTGTTTCAAAAAGTTCTTGTGAGTTTTTTCATTCTTATCCTTAAGTATATTTTAAACTGAACAAGAATTTTTCACAGATTTTAAGCTTTTTATACTACTAGAGGCCTGATGCACGATATTCCTACACGGGCAGAGGCCCCACCCACCACTGTGGCCAGGGGCCTCTGCCGTCTCTGCCTCGGCCCCCGCCCGCTGCAGCTTTGTCAGGAAGGAAGCATGTCCAGTCTAATTAGCATATTATGCTTTTATTATTATAGGTTATTATAGATTTTTTGAGAGAAAACTGTTTTAAAGCTATAATTAAAATACAAAATGTCTAAAAACAATATTCCTGTTTTTCATCTCTGAAATAATGGGTATCTATTTTCAGTCCATTAAAAGGTATTAATCCAAAGGAATGGCATTTGATTAGAAAATGGCACAGAATCAGCATTACTAGAAGAATCTCAGAGAATGACTTAACATAGGACACATTGATTACACTGTAATCCATGCATGATGAGAGGCCTCAGCCATTCATTCAACTTGCTGAAAACAAGTATCTTTGCTGCATGCTTAAACCGATACAGTCAGAGAACAATCAATAGAAGGAAATTAAATTGAACTTTACCTGTTCTCTAGTGAACCAGCGGGCATCCTCTATTTCATTCTTGTCAACTTTAATTTCTGTAGACACTGCCACAGCTAAGCAACCAATCATTAAGGAAGAGGGCATTGGCCATGGTTGACAAGAGACATACTGAACATGGCCAACTTTGACACCACTTTCCTCTTCTACTTCTCTCCGAACAGCATCTTCTATTGTCTCCCCTAATCAAATGGGGCAAAAGAACAAGTAGCTGATGAACATGCCCTGGACATATTGTGTAGGAATGGTTCAAACATTTGGAAATCACTTTGGACAGAAACCCAGTTCAAAGAATCAGAAAGCAGAAGCCTAAAACTAAATTGAAATTCAAGAAAACATTATTTCTTAAAGTTTATGACCACATACAAAATCAAAATACCAACAAACTTTTCATTTCTTAAAGGTCCAAATTTTTAGTTACATTAAAAAAATTAACATATACAACTATCTAGCACCTACCTTTGGCTAAACACTGTAAACATTTTATATATTATTTCATTAATATATTATCACTAAATAGTTATAAATTATAACTATTTTTTAATGGCTAGTCTTTTCCTCACTAAAATCTTCCAACTCTTTTTTCTTATGTTGTCAATTATTACAGATAACTGTTTTCAAAATAGTTAGAAAGCACATAACACTAAAAGTTAAAAACCACAGTAAGTGAAATTCAGCATTTTTCTTTTAACATTATTATTTTCCTCTAGATCAGCGATTTTCAACCGGTGTGCTGCAAGAATTTTTAAAACATGCAATACATGACTATTTAGTTAGGGGCATTGACCTCTTTTCCCTTAGGCTGTCAAGTGAAACATGACAACAGCCAACACAACAATAGCTGACCGATGTGAATGCCCTGTCTTGAACAATAAATATATAAGTCATATAACAGAGGTGCATATTATTGGTCATATTGCATAATAAGGTTCAGCCTGATTGGTTAATTCTTTGTACCAGAAATCCTTATATACTATATACAAGTAAAGGCACCTGATTTTTTAAAAAGTCACTTAGGAGCAAAAAAGATAGGTAGTTACTATTATACTTTTGTAAATCAATAAAGAGTATACATATTTTATTTGTCAGATTGGCAAAATATTTTATGTGGGCTGCAGAATTTTGGTAATTAGTTTATGTGTGCCCTGAGATGAAAAAGGCTGAAAATCACTGCTCTAGATGACTGCTCAGTCAGCTTTGATAAAATAAAATGATGCCTATAAATGTACTTTATATTTTGGATTTTTGGAATTGAGAATTAGGATAGAGGGAATGGTTTCTAAGTTAAGTTTATCTGGAAGTTTAGAAATATTATGCTATTTAAATATAGCGTTCTTTTTAAATAGATTAATACATTTCCTATATTGAAATTAACTTATATTCACAGAAAACAGTGAAAAGATGAGTCATTGACTAGCATAAGATATTTGCAAGACCATAACTAAATAAAGATTAGCATACAATACATATTTTAAAACTCCTAAAATCAATAAGAAAAAAGGATAAACAACCAAAAACAAAAATAGGCAAACAACATAAACATGTACAACTCAGGAGTAAAGAAAACTGGGTGCCTATTATACATTTGGAAAGGATACTCCATCAGCAGGGAAATAAAAATGAAAAATACAGTGACACACTATTTCATATCCATCAGAATGACAAATTAAAAATTTGAAAACTCTAATTTGGTGTAGATTTGGAATAACCGAATACTTCTTGTACCACTAAAAGGAATGTAAATTAGCCGGGACACTGTAGAGAGCAACTTGGCAATAACTAAAAAGGTTAAGATGCTGATATCCTACGATCTAACAATGATACTCTCAGGTATATACTCTAGATAACTCTTGCAAATGTGTACAAGGAGTGGTATAAAAATATTAATGGCAGTGTTGCTTGTAATAGCAAGAGCTTTGAAATAAATGTCCAACAGCAGAATAAATAAATTGCAGGATATTCATAAATGGAATACTACACAGCAGTGAAAAAAGTAATCCAAAGCTATGAGAAGCAGCAGAGTGATTAAGATCATGGACTCAGAGACAACTGCCCAGGTTTAAGTCCCTGCCCTATCACTTACTACCTGCTTGATTTGGGGCAAGTTGTTCAGCCCCTGTGCCTTTGTGCCCCATCTATAAAACTGCTGAGGATCATATGATTTAATACATGGAAAGCCTTGGGAAAAGAGTGTGGCTCTAATATATATTTATTACTATTATTATCTAGTAATGCAGATTAATATTGGAAGTTTGAGGTTAAACATGTATTAATAGATATATTCATTCATTTATTCTGCAAATATTTATTGAACTCCTACTATGTAAGAGGCACTGCTTTAAGGGTTTGGGACATACCAATGAATAAAACAAAGTCCCTGACCTTATGGACTTACTTTCTGGTAAAAGCAGATAAATAGAGATAGACAAATAGATACATACAAAAATACATACATACATATATACCATGTTAGGTGGTGATGAGTGCTATAGCAAAAAATCTGGCAGGATAACAGGAATTGTGAATGCAGGCTATGGGGCTAAGGAATGCATTTGGGGCTACCAGGAAGATATATTTGAAAAGATGACAGCTGAGTCTAGCACAGAAGGAAGTGAGGTGTAAGTCATGCTGATATCTTGGGTAACAGAAATATATGAAAGATATATGAAAGAGCAAGTACTGAATTTTTAAAACACAAAATTATTCCATTAGTAAAAACAAAAGTTGTATCATTTAAAATACAAAGAAAATATGTAAACATACGATTTTATTGAATTTATCAAAGATTATTTCTCAAATGCTGCCTAAAATATTTATTTGGAAATTATATGTTAAATAAAAATCATTACAAAAATTATTTTTAAAAAGCTTACCAGGTTCAATAAATCCAGCAAGGCAAGTAAACATGCCTGGAGGAAATCTTTTCTGCCTGCCTAAAAGACATTTGGTCCCATCTGGATGAATAACTTGCATGATTACTACTGGATCTATTAAAAAAAAAATTGGATGTATGAATAACAGGAAAAAATAATTTCCACTCATTCTGTATATGTAGTCACTGTCTAGTACAGTGATGGCGAACCTATGACACGTGTGTCAGAGGTGACACGCGAACTCATTTTTTTGGTTGATTTTTCTTTGTTAAATGGCATTTAAATATATAAAATAAATATAAAAAATATAAGTCTTTGTTTTACTATGGTTGCAAATATCAAAAAATTTCTATATGTGACACAGCACCAGAGTTAAGTTAGGGTTTTTCAAAATGCTGACACGCCAAGCTCAAAAGGTTCGCCATCACTGGTCTAGTAGGATAATTAAAAGGTATATCTACTGTAAGAACAAGACTTGTCTAGTTACAAGAGATTGTTTCTTTCTGCCTAATGACAGTATTTTAGGGAAGTTATATAGAATACTGTTAGTAGGTAAAAGATCAATTTTGTCCTCATTTTAATAACATTTATTGTGTACTTATGGTATGCTAGGCATATTTTTAAAGAATATATTTTTATTGATTTCAGAGAGGAAGGGAGAGGGAGACATCAATAATGAGAGAGAATCATTGACTGACTGCCTCCTGCATGCCCCTACTAGGGATTGAGCCCGCAACCCAGGCATGTGCCCTTGATGGGAATCGAAATCGGGACCCTTCAGTCCACAGGCTGACACTCTATCCACTGAGCCAAAGCAGCTAGGGCTCTTATTTTTTTATAAGAAAAAAGTGTGAGTAGATAATACATGGCATGAATAAAATTCAAATTTTACCATAGTAAATGTAGTGGATTTTCCTTTCCCTTCCATCCTAATCCGTAATAAAATGTTTTTAAAGCTAAGGTAGTTCTGTGATTACATTTAAGCTATTAAAAAATACATATACGTATAAATTAAACACAGTCATGTCTCCGGACATCACTTATCTAGTGAATTATCCTCTCTATATCATGACTGAGATCCAGGAATCAGATGTAAGATTCCCAAGCAGTAAAAATAGATGTCACTAAGCCATGCACTTTACTTACTCCTAGGAGACCTCTTCAGGTGTTGCTTACTTAGTCTGTCTATTCTTTCTCACAGTTTGATAGGGCTGGGTTATCAGATTTCTAAACCAACAGCAGTCTCAAAGCAATTAGGAGCAGAGAAAGTATAGGCAGATACCAGCAGTTATGAGAAGCTAGCTCCAGACTGTACTGCTTGGGTGATGCCTCAAACAGGTACTAAATTGTTGGGGCCTGAACTAAGTGGACCCAGATTGGTGGGCTTTTGAAATCGTGTATCTCAACACATCAAATTCATACTGATTAACCCAGAGTTAAGAAATGGCTAATTATGTACAATGTCCTTTACTTAAAATTCATGAAAGTATGCAATAAAGTATACTTATAGACTTAATGGTTAAATTAAACATGCTTTTAACAAAAAGGTCAACCCCTCAGCAACTGAAAATCTTGTCTTTCAAAAATGTCTTATTCCTCAAGATTCCAGGTGGCTGAGATTTCACTGTAAAAGAAAAGGCTTACCAACTCTTGGATATGATGTATTGTGAACGCCATGGAGGCTAGGGCAGTCTTCTTTTAAGCATACTCTTTTATATCCACCTTCTTCAATTTTAGTTGCACTTCCACAGGTTGGGCAGAACTTGTATCTACTGTGCCAGGCAAGAACGGATCTTGCTTGAGCTACAACTCCTTTTTGAGAAAAACAAAAAGTTTTAATTCTGTGAAGAATTATAAACAAATTAATCATAAGTAAAATATTCTTGAGTCATAATAAAGACATATGGTATAAATGTTCTTAAGTCATAATAAAGAATATACTTCTGAATAGCGGTGTGATCAAGAGTTTAGTACTCATATTTTGATGACGTGTACATTTTTTTAAAGTAAAAGATTTAATTCTACATATGACAAATGAAAATTAGATTTAACTTTAATTTGAACTAAGAAAATATAACTCACATAAGATAGATGTACTAACATCCATCTTACACACTGTATTAGCTCAGACTTTTACTACAGATGATTTTGAAATTTTGGATATACAAGGTGTATAGTGACTCTACAAATAGTAACTTTATAATGGAGACTTTTCTAAAAATACATTACAAAGGCTGTTCCTAACTTGGACTTGAACAAAAAAGGCAGTATTATAAACTGTTGGTACCCATCTCTACCTTGGTGACTGACTAAGCCCCTACTGGTCCGTGTCACTGTGGAACCTATCCTGTTTACAACTGGAAACAGCGCATAATATTAAAAAAATAATGCTGTTTACAACATTCATATCCTTGGAAGGGCCTTCCCCATTACCTAAGGCAGTGGTCGGCAAACCGCGGCCCGCGAGCCACATGCGGCTCTTTGGCCCCGTGGCATGGGCCACGAAGTTTCAATCGCACTGTATGTGCGTGCCCGCACGTGGTATTTTGTAGAAGAGCCACACTCAAGGGGCCAGTTTGCTGACCACTGACCTATGGGAAGGGGAACACTGACAAGTGACCCCTTCATCACCTCCCATTAACTTCTCATTCTATCATAATCTAGCTTCTTTCCTTCCACTCCACTGATACTCCTCTTGTCAAAGTCACCAAAACCTTCATTCTCTCCAAACCAAAGATCTTTTAAAAAACCACAAAAACTTTGTCTTTGTCTTACACATATTCTCAACGGCATTCAATCCATTTGACCAGTATCTCCAAAAATACTCTGCTCTCATGGTTTCCACTTTTGATGGCTCCTCTCTTTCTACCTGACCTTTAAATTGAGAGGCATTGAGGTATGATTCTGAGATTCTCTTTCTTTCTTGCTCTCAACTCGAAGTAATCTCAGTAGTTTCCTGGGATTCAAAAACCATCATTGTGTTGATGACTCCCATATGGGTATCACCAGTTCAGGCCTCTCCTCTCCTCTTTCCAGATTCTAATATCCTCTAAAATTTAGCATGCTTAAAACTAATATCTTGATTTACTTACTTTAACTCTTTCCTGCTTCCCTTGTTCTACTCATCACCCTATATTATTTTATTTAAAAAATAGTATCACTACTTACCAAATTATTAAAGTCTCAAGCCTAGCAGTTGTTCCTTATCTTTTCCTTCATTATTATATACTCTATCCTCATTCCAATAAGTACTGTTAATTTTCTCTCAAAAATATATCTTGAATGTACCTCCTTTTCACCATCTCTAATATTATTACCTTAATTTAGGTCATAGTCCAAGTTACTATCATCTCCCTCTCACTTATAATAGTCTCAACATACTGATAAAGCCCTATCAGTCCTACTGCCATAATATCTCAAACTCTCTCTCTCTCCTGCCACTCTACTAATCCAAGCCAATAAAATATCTTACCTGGGATGCAGTAATTGCTAATCACCTCACAACAAGACTCCTGAATGCCATACTTAATTGCCTACAATTCATGATCTACAAAGCAGCCAAAGTGAGGGGTTTTTTTTCCTTTTCTTAAACATAGGTTTAGGTCAGGTTATAATATTTAAATAGAATTTAGACTAACATCCCTAGGTTCTTATCATGACTTGAAAGGCCCCACATGAACTGGCATACCCAGCAACAGAAAAAACGAAATAGTCCAAGTCTTTGCCATCATGCTCATTGTACACCAGGTGCTCACTGTTCACTGAAGAATCAAATGAAACCATCATGCTTTAGGGTTAATTCTGGGGAAATCTGTCTTGGCTGAGTAAGACTGCTGTAACTGCCCAGGAGAGTAGTCCCCTAGGGTGAGAGCTTTACAAGGTTTCTAATGAAGATATAGCTTAATTTCATTGCTTACTGAAAAAAGCATGCCCTCTAGAAACTGTAGATACATACAACTCCAATAGAGTTCCAAAGACCAGATTATCATCAATACAAGTATAGAGTGTTCACTTCTTACCAGCTTCATTTTCTTTCAATTGCAGAAGAGCTGGCATTGGAGGATGAAGAAAATAACAATTTTCATGTCTTTGCTTAAATTCTTCAGCAGCAACAGGATCTATACCTAGAGCAAACCAGGCAACCAACCCATCTTCTTCTTCTCTTGGGACTTCCCCAGGATAATTAAGTAACTCTTTTTTCATTTCAAGTTCTACTCCAAGGAAAATCAAGGTGATCTTTTCAGGCTGAGCCAAATAATCCTTTATATCTGTGTAGTTCAGCTGACAAAGCCTGACTTCTGGCTGTTGGGAACTTTCTTTGTTGCCACCCAGAGTAACCAAGGGATTTAAATCTGAGAAAAGTATATAAACTGTGGCTGGATGGCTTTCTTTAGCTAGTAGCCAGTCAGAATTATTTCTTTTTTCACTTTTCCGGTCCAACAGCGTTTTGCCAAAATAATTTTCACATTCTTCTACTTCATTGGTTAGGAACCAAGGCTTCTTCCCACCTTTATTATTAGCTAGTAAGTTAGCTATATGCTTGTAACCCCAAAATTTAGCAATATCCAGTGCAGTCTGCCTTGATTTGTTGACAATGGATCTGTCACACCTATAGATAAAAGGAAAAATATAATAGGAAACAAATGTTTTCTCCAGTATTTACTTAATATTTTCAGATGCATATTATAGTTCCTTTATTTAATGCTTACATAGATTTTTTTCATTTATTACATAATTTACAAGTGGGAAGGTTAAAAGAAATAATCATAAATGATGAAAAGTTATAGATAGTGGATATTTCAATTTTCTGGAGAATTATAAAATTAAAAAGCAGTATGTGCTATGAGATATTAAAATTTTACAATAGTAGTCATTGTGGGTAAATTCACATTTTCTGTTTTGGAAAAAATATTAGATTAACTCCTAAGTTTGCTTTGCTATTAAGAATGAAAAGTTAATGCATCAGTAAAGTTACAAGCTTTTAGCTAGAAATTATGCTACATTTTTATATCACAAAACTGATCAATGAGTTATTTACATGTCCAATGATATAAATAATGGCTACAAGAAAACTTTGAAAAGATGTAACCCAGAAATTAAACCATATAATCCTTCAGGTGATATAGTCTCAAATGTTTACCCTTTCTCAAGTAGAAATTGGACAACATCTGGGTGCCCATTCCTTGCAGCATACATTAAAGCAGTCCAGCCATTTTCAGAAGTTTCATTGAGAAGAGATGGAGAATGACTGAGTATTACTGTTAACCTGGCAATATCTCCTTCTGCAGCTGAATAGTGAAATTGAGAAACTATTTCTTGCTTTGGATTTCTTTTTATAGAAGACATTTCTTCCTTAAAAAAAAGGAAAATAGAAAAAAAAACTCATTTGCAATTGTTCTTCATATCAACAATTGAACATTATCTGAGTGCTGATATAATTAGAATAATTATGGTTTCTAAAACATAATTAGCAAAAGGTAATTAGCAGTCAACTGTCATCACAGCATACATTTCAAAGTTGTCATCAGTTGGGAATTTTAAATATGATTCAATATGAGGGATATATACATAACATACAGATCTTTGGTAATACAGATGAGGGGGCCATATCCTTGGGAGAGGGACCAGGTACAGCTTTACAAAGAGAAGCAGGTATTTGAAGTAGACCTGACATACTTCAATGGGAATAGGGCTTAAAGCAGACAGAAGTAAAGGCAGAAGTTTTTAGCAGATGACAAGTAGTATTTCCCTTAGATTTGCTGGTACCAGAAACAGGTTCCTGTCCTCAGAGAAATTAAGAACTTTTAACAAATTATTAAAAAGCTAAGTTCCTCATGAAAACCATGTATTGCTTTCCCTTGCACAATTCTGAAATCTATCTGGAATTGATTTTTGTTTAAGGTGTGAGGTAAGGGTCAACATACATTTTTATCTCATAGAATAATCCATATGACTTAGTATCATTCTTGAAATTACTATCTTGTCCTTTTGTACTGCAGTATTATCTTTGTCATAAATCAGATGACCATATATTTTTTTAATTTATTGGACACTGTTCTAATGGTCACTTTGTCTACCCTTGAATCACAGAAACTTTTTAAACCCTTAACTTTGTCTGCTTTGTCACACTGTTTCAGTAAGAAAAAAAAAATAAAACATAATTGTTTCATATCTCTTAATAAATGTTGCCTAAACATGGGTTAAATGTGGTAGGGCACAAACTGAGCTATTTTTGGTGGAAATGGTTCATGTTTTAGTTGTCTATGAATTCCTCAAAGTACCCTTTTCTTAATGTGTAATTTTTTTTCTATGAAATGCAGTTAATATTTGGGTTTCTACTATTCTAAGCAATAGATATTTATGCTAAAGGAAGGAAAGGTTAGAATCCATATTTTTTGAAAGCAGTTTTCTTTAGGGTTCTGACACTACAAATTTGGCAGATTAATTTTATAGTATGAGTAGGGGGAAATGGACGAGAGAGTAACTTTAGTTTTGTTTACCTTTCTTGTTTGTATCTTTGTACTTACAAGTAAGTAGGTAAAAACTATCAATAGGTGAAATATATTCACAGGAATGTAAACATTTGAATAAAACCTAATAATGAAAATCTGTTTATAACTTAATTGAAAGTGACTTCGGTATTAGAAAAATTTTTTTCTTTAGATTTAGTTTAAAATTTACCTGACCACTGTCTTCATATTGAGCTTTCTAAATGCTTTAAAAATATTCTAATAAAGACACACCTTTTAAGGACTTTGTTTCGAAGCACTGCTATGTACAGACTGATGTGTCGTCTCCCTTCTGCATTGCCTTTCTCTGAAATTTCCTTGCTGTAAAATCTCAGCATATGGGTCCTTTAGTTAGGTTTGCTGTGAGCAATATTTCACTTCCTCCCCCTCCCCACAGGCCGCTCCAAGGGGCTGCAAAACTGTCCTCCAAAGCACAGCACCGCTCAGCAGCCCCGGCGCCCGCCAGGCTCATGGCAGCACATGTTTTCAGGAGAAAGGCTTTGGAAACGCACACGTTCCCCCTTAGCTCAGGACCGAGAAATAGCGCCGTTATTCATTCCATTTACTTTCCCGTCTCACGGACAGGTCCTCCATGGGGTGCGCACTGGAAGGCAGGGCGGGTGACTCAGTTCCCTAAATGCTGCCCCCGCTCCCGGAGGGGGGCACGGGCTGTTCTGAGGGGCCATCTAACAGAACCGCAGGTTTCACCGGTCTTAGGTTGATCCAAACCAACACCCACTGTTTCTGACGTTGCTAACTCGGGCCATGGCTCGCCCACGGTCCGGGGCTCAGGGGAGGCAGGGCGGCCCTCCAATGGGGCTCTGTCCCCATCACCCACCGCTACCCACCCGACCCCTTCCCGGCACCCAGGGCGGCCCTTTAACCAGCGGGCGCCACCCACGCCGGTCTCTTCAGAGGGTCCAATGCCCGAAACAGTTGATTTTCTCGCCACTACTGTGAGCGTCCTTTTAATGGGAAACCAAATCGAGGCAGCGTTTCCTTTCACTGCTTCAGAGACGGGGCTGGGAAGGCCCCCAGGGGCCCCGCGGCGCCGCGCTCCCTCCCGGCCAGGCGGCGGGGTCACCGCTCCTTCGCCCGCGCCCAGGGCGAGGCTGCGCCCCAGGACCCGCAGGCCCGGCGATTCGTGGGGTGGTGGTGGGGGGAAGGGGCAGAAGGTATGGAAACTGGTCCCGGGCCCCAGACCTGGCCGACCGCCTGGCTCGCCGCTGCGCTACTAACCAAGCGAAGACCAGAACAGCAGAAAACGGGATGTGGTCAGGAAACTGGAAAACACACACTTACTCTTCCCGGAGCCGGATAAAACCTTCCTGACTTCCGGTAAAGGGCCGGTGACCTCGCACGGCTTTATGGGAGATGTAGTTTGAAGGTCCAAGGCTGTGGGCCACCCTAGAAGGGGTGGGGTTTTGGGGGAAGACAGTCCTATCGCACAGGAGTTCCAGGCTAGGACAACAGGCTTCCTGGAGGTGAGTGAAGGATTGGTGAGTCTTCCAGGTGAGATGTGTGGAGTGTGGTGCTGGCTTGGAAAACTCGAGATCTGTGGAATGGACTTAAGTTTTCCAGTAATTTGCACCAGTCGATAGAGTCCAATGCAATGGAGAGCTCAAAGCATTCTTTCATGTTAAAGAAAATTGGAATATGACTTGGACCGAGACTTTCCAGTACATGACCTTACATAAGCTGTTGGCCTCTGAACCTCAACCTCCTCATGTGAAAAATGGTGCCATGTGTTGATTCCCCCCAAGTGCCCACAACACACCTTCTTGGGTTGCTGTGAGGTTTAAATTGGATAATGCATGCAGTGCTAAGTCTATAGCTAGTACCCTCAACACAATTATTATTGCCGCTGTTGTTTATTATGCTCCAAAAACCTACAGAGGTTATGTGAGTCCGAGATTACAAAGGTAGGTGTTGGCAGTCTTCTAACATCCAGATGTTTTCTTTACTAAACTGTCTCTTGGGCAATCAGCAACAATGAAGGAGTCAGGAGTTCTAAACCACATGGCCAGCGATAGTCACGGTGAGGAAAGGTCACCCTATAATACTGTGTTTCCAGTTTTGTCTGTTGCTAGGCACCCGGAGCTTTGGCCCTCGTGACCTTCTGTACCTGGCCTATCCTTTCTACTCTGCTCTTGTCTAACTACCCAATATATCAATTAGAAGCTTATCACAGTGAAGTTTTCTGTTCCCGTCAACATTGTACTTTCACAACTGCTCTTTTTAGCTTTATTTATGCTTCTGTCCGTCAATAGTTGCCTTCAGTCCTTAATGATTTCTGTGATTAGGCAAGAGGTTAGAAATACTAAGTTTTAGTTAATTCACTAGGAATAGCCAATCTTGCTATTCCAACGTATGTTAAGTAAACAGATTAGTAAAAAAAAGTTAATATATTAGTAATATAGCATAAATAATTATTAATATATAATCTTCCAGTCCTTTAGATTCTTTTGAAGTAAATTCTAGATACCATGTTATTTTACTAATAAATATTTAAGAATAAAACTTTTGGAATTATGAATATATATAATATAAAAGGTATTTAAAAACATTTCTATAATATCATTAATGCAACTTAAATTTTACAATAATTCTGTAATATGAGGCATTCAGTATCAAATTTTATCATCTCATAAATTTTATTTTACATGTTTTACTCGAATCAGAACCTAAACAAAATCTCCACATTACATTTGATGATTTGATCATCTTTTGCCTTATAGAATTTCCCACATTTTGAGTTTTGCAAATTGTATTCCTATGATGTCCTTCTGTATTTCTTGTAAATTGGTAGTTAAATCTACAAGACTATCCAGATTAAGCCTTTTTTTTTTCAAAAAGATTTCATAGGTGTTATTATTTCCTTCCTGTTGTATTACATTAAGAGGCAAATACTGTCTGGTGGTCTTTCTTTTTGTCATGTTATAATTGGTTATTGAGTTCAGATGTTATCAACCTGATAAAGTTTGTGATAAATTTTTTTCATGGATTTTTCAGCTAATAGTTTTAGCAGCCATTGATGATTATCACATAGGTCCATTATTTCATTTAGAGTTTCAAAATGATGATATTCCAATTTGATTATTCATTCTACATTTACTAACAAATTCTTTTATAATAACTTTGCCTCATTAAATATCTGTACAGTTATACAGGAAGATTAGGATAAATGTGTAGCTTTCTCCATTATTTCCTAGTTTTCAGAATAATGAGTTAGTTCCTTATTGTCCTTCAAGTTTTTAAGTATGTTTATGAACTCATGGATGTTAAAATTTTAAGTATCTTTTATGTCATTGAAGATATTATTTAAAAAGGATTTTAATAATATTTATTATTTTGATGTTCAAATTGTTTCTTCTTTGGCTAGTGGGGACCCCTCAAGTGGGCTAAATTCTTTTGACCACACGACTATAGTGTTTGATAGCTTACTTCCTTTCTGGCATGAAAACGTATTTTACACTCATCTTGTAAATATTCTGGTCAGACCCTGCCTGGCCATTGTGGCTCCTTGAACATTGTCCATGCACCAAGAGGTCATGGGTTTGATTTCTGTTCAGGGCACATGCCCAGGTTGTGGGCTCAATCCCCAGTAGGAGAGGGGTGGGGTGTACAGGAGACAGAGATAAATGTTTCTCTCACATCAAAGTTTTTATCTCTCTTTCCCTCTCTCTTCCTCTCTAAAATCATTAAAAATGTATTTTTAAAAATATCTGGCCCTAGCCAGTTTTGCTCAGTGGTTGGAATATTGACCCTCAAACTGAAGGGTCTTGGGTTCAGTTCAGGTCAAGGGCATGTACCTTGGTTGCTGGCTTGATCCCCAGCCCTGGTGGGGCATGTGCGGGAGGCAACCAATGGATGTCTCTCTCTCACATCAACTTCTCTCTCTCTCTCTCTCTCTCTCTCTCTCCCTCTCTCCCTTCTAGTCTTTCTAAAAATCAATGGAAAAAATATTCTTGGGTGAGGATCAAAAAATTTTAAAAAAAATTTTATGGAATTTATTGGTGTGACATTGGTTAATAAAATTATATAGGTTTCAAATGTGCACTTCTATAATACATCATCTGTATATTGTATTGTGTGTTCACCACCCAAGGCAATCTCTTTCCATCACCATTTATCCACCCTTTACCCTCTTCTACCTCCCCCTACTCCCCTTTCCCTTGGTAATCACCATGCTTTTGTCTGTGTCTATGAGGTTTTTTTGTTTTGTTTTGTTTTTGTTAACCCCTTCACCTTTTTCTTCTAGCCCCCCAACTTCCCTCCCCTCTGACAGCTGTCAGTCTGTTTTCTGTATCTATGAGTCTGTTTCTATGTTTGTATATTTTATTCATTAGATTTTACATGTAAGTGAAGTCATATGGTATTTGTCTTTCTCTGACTGGCTTATTTCACTTCAGATCCATCCATGCTGTTGCAAAAGGTATAATATCCTTTTTTTTTTTTTTACTGTCGAGTAATGTTCCATTATGTAAATAAATATACCATTTTATCCTACAAATTTAGTGAAAATCCATTATCACTTTCCCTTAACCAGAAAGAAACTTGATTTTATGGCAATATAGAAATAAAAGTTTATGTAGATAACTTTACTTGGTAATTAATCTTATACTGTTTTGAGGTATGTCTTATTCTTGCCACACATTGCTTTTAAATTTTTGTATTAATGCTTTATATATTTTTGCCTTTTTCTCTAATAAATTATAAAATTTAAAATTAAGAATGTCAGATATTTTAAAAACCGTCTACAGTAATAGCTGCTTTTCTTTCACATATAAGGCACTTAACAGTTGGTGGTTGATAAGGATGAGGTATGCTGGGAACTATGCTTTAACTCCACACAATGTAGAGGTGAATTCAATACAAGTGAGGGGATCTTGAGCTCCACATACGGTCCTTGATAGAAGATAATTTCACATGTAACTAGAGATAGGGGCATTTATAATTTACATACATCATACAAAAATTCTACATTTTTTGAATACACCAAGTTTGCTCTTTTCCCTCCTTTTAAAATACTCTTCTGGCAGATTTCCCGGGCCCCTCTCAAGAGCACCCCCCTCCCTAGATAACTGCTCTTCTGATTTCTATCTCCATAAATTAGCTTTGTCAGTATTCTTTTTTAAATTTAGGTATAATTGACATACAACATTTTATTAGTTCCAGGTGCATACACAATGATTTGATAGTTGTATATATTGTGAAATGATCACTACAGTAAGTTTAGTTAACATCTGTTACCATACCTAGTTATAGAATTTAATTTTTTTTGTAATGACAACTTTTAAGATCTCAGTAATTTTCTATTATGCAATACAGTATTATTAACTATCATCATTCTGTACATTACATCCCCATGACTTACTATATAGCTGGAAATTTGTACCTTTTTATTCCCTTCACTGATTTTGCCCACCCCTCACCTCTGGCAACCACCAATATGTTCTCTGTATCTATGAACTTGGATTTTTTATTTTAGATGTTAACTGTAGGCTTGTCATATATGGACTTTATTATGCTGAAGTACATCCCCTCTATACCTACTTTCTTGAGAGCACTACAAAAATTCCATATTTTGACCTGAATGGTTTAATCCGGCTTTAGATATATGTACTTTTTTGTGTTGTATACTCAAAGATTTATGTGTTATAAATTTAGATTTATGCACTTTATTGTATGTAAGTGATAAAGAAGTAAATAAAATGGAGATATCTAAAAAATACTCTTCCCTAAGATTTTCTAATTGCAGTCTCCTTGCCATTCATATATCACTCAAATATTTTTAGAGGACTTCTCTGATCACCCAGTTTACAGCAACTCTCCTACTGATATTTTCTTATTTTTGGCATTATTCTTTTTGATAATTCTTGTTTCTGATGCTTATTTATTGTTTTTCCCTATTAGAAGGTGAACTACTACATGAGAAGGCCCTAGTTTATCTCATTTACTGCTGTTTTCTCAGTATCTGGAATTTTGATTGGTATATGATGGAAATATTAAGTGAATATTTGTTGATGTTGAATAAATGGTGGTTTTCATATAAAGTTAAATATATTTTTGATGTTGCTGCCATACCTGGGAGTTAGGATTTCTCCATAACATTGAGCAGGCATGCATCTAACTTTCTGTGGTCATGTTTATTGGTGTGTTTATGGAATTTAGTCAGGGAAATAATTGATCTAGTTGTTCCCTTGTCTCATTGTCTAGTGAAGTAAAATAGATGACAAACAATTGCATGCTCTATAATAGAGTGAAGACAAATGAAAACACATTTACAGGCCAGGGTTAGAAAAGGTGTAGTGGAGACT